TTTCGAACTCCTGAGCTCAAACAATCCGCCCGCCTCGGCCTCCCAGAGAGCTAGGATTACAGGTGTGAGCCACCGCGCCTGGCCTGGAAAAGCAAATCTTAACAGCTTTGTGGGGCCAGGTGCTGTGGCTTACCCCTATAATTCTAGCACTCTGGGAGGCTGAGGCTGGAGGATTGTTTGAGCTCAGGAGTTCGAGACCAGCCTGAGCAAGAGTGAGACCCTGTCTCTACTAAAAATAGAAAAATTAGTGGGGCATAGTGGCATGCGCCTGTAGTCCCAGCTACCCAGAAGGCTGAGACAGAAGGACCGCTTGAGCCCAGGAGTTTGAGGTTGCAGTGAGCTATGATTACACCACTGCACTCTAGCTGGGGCAACAGATCGAGACTCTGTCTCAAAAAAGAAAAAAAGAAAAAAAAGAAAAAGAAAAAAGCAGCCTTGTGGGCCACTCATTTGCTTTTATTTGCGTCTTCATACAGAACACGAAGGAGGCACCCTGGCACAGGAACATGATAAATGGAGAAACTAAGAGATACTAAGGAAGTGTTTATGATGCGTTTCTAGAGGATATGGAGCTAGCATCTTATGATATAAGAGAGCTGGGAAAAGAGGAAGTCTAAAAAGACTCTAGCCATTTGGGCTTAGAGACCTCTGATTTTATTAATAGGAGGTTGAATATGTGAAAAAACAGAATTCTAAGTGCTCCTTCACCTATACCATCACATTTTGCAAATAGGTAATTCATTTTATTTCTTAAAAATACTGGTTTTGAATAATCAAGTTACAGTACACACTAAATATATTCAAGTGATTGGAAGACTAGTCAGCCAGTTTCGGAGGTGGCTGTCTTAAATTAGCAGTAGGAACGCCCCATGAATTTTCCTCACAGGCAGACAGGTGGAAGAAGTACAGAGCTGAAGAATGTGGTAGAGAGAACTGCTCAGGAATAGCAAAGAGATGGTCCTTCTCCGTATTCCAGAGGGCACCGTGTAGACAGAGGGTTAAGAACATGGTTGTGTGTTTTCTCAGTTTGTGTAGGAAACACAAATCTCTGCTTGTCTCAAAAATGGCCTCCTGTAAACACTGTAGAAACTTTATCTGATCCTGACACACCTCAGTTAAAAACTGAATACACTAGGCCTGGCATAGACAGCGCAGGGAGGGAAGACAGCAGGCATGGGACAGTTAAGATGAGGCCGAAACACGAAGTTCAGAAAGGAATCTCGGCTTCTGGTCCACTGACCTTGGAAACAGAACACACAACCATTAAAAGCACTGGAAGAGAATGAAATACTGAGCTAATAATTAATAATGACCTATCACGGCTGGCAAAAAGCAGGTGAAAAGCACAGTCTTGGGGTAAGAAAACAGCCACCATTGTTCATTTTTTCATTTTTCCTTTAGATACGACTTCTGCGTAAGAGGTGTGAATGAAGTCATAAAGCTGCTTAGCATTTGCAGCATTCCCCAGAATGCTTGTGAGCTTGTCTTGTGACAGGGTTGCTAATTCTGCAATGTTCTTAACGTGGTTCATCAAGGAGCGACAGTTTTTGGCATTTACCCCTGGCATTTTTAACAAGAAGTCTTGGGGACCAGGATTATACTTGTCTGACTCGGGGAGGGTTTCAGAATCTGCTGTAATGGCCAATGCTGTCGCCGCATCAGGCTGTGGCTTATTTTGTTTCAGCTCCTCAAACAACTCCGCGGTGGCATGAGGGGAGGGGCACCAGAGAATCCGGAGTCTGGGGAAGTGAAGTGTGAGAAGAGTGAGTTTGGAACTAATGTCATTGCTGGAGATCTCCTGAAATAAGGCCCCTCGGGGAGTGAGAGAGAAAGGCTTACTAGGGTCAAACTCGATCAGAAGCACAGGTCGCTTGTAATAGCGGGACATGGAGATGCACTGGTTGTAGAGACGGCCGTTATTTAAAGAGCCGATCAAATCACTGATACTCTTGCGCTCCACGCACATGTCTGGAGTCAGGATGTAATCTCCAACCTCTAAAGTCACTGGTTCAATGTCAATGCCCCGACGATGGATCAGAGATGGGAGCTCACTTCGAAATTCACGCATATCCACAACTATGCTTTGCTGTGTACCATTCTGTTCCTGGCCACCTATAAAAAATGGGTAGCATTTTAAGTAATGTTACAGGA